TATACAATATTGCAAAGACAATAATCCATGTATGTTATATATAGTTAAAATAGTTAGCTACAGCATTGTTCATTAAGAGCTCTGGATAGCTGTCAAAGTTACAAATGCCCCCCAAACAGATCACAAATAAATAAAAACAGAATTTATTTGCAAAGACATTTACATTCCTAAGCTGAAACTGACACATTTTCCTCCAGTTATATGAACACATAGCATTACTGACACAAATTTGGGAAGTTTTTGTCCTCAAAAATAAAATAAGATTTTCATCAAAATATTTCAATTATCTACAATAGTTTTGGTAGATTTCAACTCATTCTTAAGCTGATTCTTCATATATCCACACTTAAAAGTAAATTGTTTATGCCTTGGTTCTTTAGCAAATGACTCTGAATTTACATTAAGGTAACCACGCAGGAACCCTTACTTCATGAACTCCAGGCCTCCCTATATGTGGATATCATCATTTTATCTCTTCTTAGGTAAACACACTAGAAATGGAGACCAAATGCCAGTGTAACCAAGCTTTCTTAAATACTTTGATCCTTCTCTTGAGATACTTTTAAAAGGCATTGGGTTTTAGTTCTGGAAATGGAAGCATTTTTCTTTCTGTTCTTTTCTTTTTCTTTTTTATTATTATTATTACTTTTTTGGTGCCAGTGATTGAACTCAGGACCTTGTACTTTTGAGGAAGGTGGTGACATCACTGAGCTAAATCCCCAGCCCCATTTTCCTTTCATTGAAAAGACATCCTGCAGAAGTGGAGTCCACTGATTACTGGAGTTGTCCATTAATTTGTTTTTATTTTCATCTTCAACCATTGGGTCCACTGGATGAATTGATTCTGAGAGCACATAAATGTCGCCAGCCAATGTAGTCACCTGCTTCTTTGCAGCAATGGTAACAAGAATCCCAAACACTGTGCTGGTTTTATGATCTCAACATCTATCCCTGAGGAACTGGTCTGAGATTGCTGACTCATTACACATAGCTGTCACGTGAGCAGATCATTCGCTTGATAATCACTCCACTGAACCATGTTTGCAACATCATTTGGCATGTAAGAAAGCAGAATTGTAATTTAGGAGCCCAGAAGGGGCTGCAGTGTGGTAAGGGGTAGGGAAAGATTTTATTTCAGCAATGATAACAAATTTACTAAAGAGTTCAGAGAGGTAATTTCCTTATAACTTAGAAATAACTTCGGCTAGGTTTAACAGTGTACTATATATTTTTTCATGGTTCTGAATTGTCTAATGGTTTAGTTTTTCAAGAACTTTGTTGCATTCTATAGAATTGTGTCTACTCGTTCAACTACATTTATAATGTGTGTACCAATATTCAACAATTACAAATATAGATTTCCTACATTTATAGAGAGAAAGCCTATGAATTCGTGTGGGTATATTTACTGGAGAGAAAAAGCAAAGTACACAATCCTTTTTCGTTCTGAAATTCTTGTTTACCACTTTTCAGAGTTGCTAATGGGTTTTACATGTGCATATTTTGAACTATGTTAATTGTGTGAAAGTTGTAGGGAACTAATTGTCTCTGGTGAGAAGATACAGGTGCAGACATAATGAACAGTTGCAGATTATTCTTCAAAACCATCCGACTATTAATGGAATGAATTATTTGAACATTGGGCAGCGTTTGGAATTTATGTGTGCTGCTTTTTAAGTGCTACAGTGAGTTGTTTCTTATAGGGGAGAATTTTTAAAGCAGTTATAAGTCAGTCTGTTCATTCACTCTACAAATATTTACTAAGTGCCTATTAAGTGTGAGGAACTGCAGTGTATATTAAAATATGACAAACAAACCCAGAATTAATGGGGACAGGCAAGATGATATTACAATCTCATTGTGAAAAGAATGGGCCTATGAAGAGACTTAATATTATCAGGCAGACAATCAAAGACTTACATCTGAGTATTGAAAATCATAAAGAAGTGATTAGGAATCACTGGTGTCCAAACCAGCTGAGTACTCATTCAGATAATGAGGGATAATAAATCATGTTGTAAGTGATCAGAGAATGATAATTACTGAACATTTTATAACATTATGTCAGTTAAGGTGTGTGTGTGTGTGTGTGTGTGTGTGTGTGTAAAAGGCTATATGCTATGGTATTAGAAATACATTTTCCTCCTGAAGTGCTCAGAGCATGAAATACAAGTGTATACACACACATCATGGCCCAACAGCTAATGTCTGTATCTGGGTTAAATAAGCATGAGAGTCGCAACAATAGTTCTTTTTATCTACTTTCTCACTTAGCTAAGCCCTTGTGTTTGGATGTGAATTACTGGCTTTGTAAAGGTAGCTCTGTGATTGACTGTCATGTGTTAAATTGTGAGATTTGTAAGAGTTAACCTGCTTATAAAATATGGAAAAGATCTTAACATCAGAAGAGTGTAATCTGGTTAGTCCTCTATGCGCAGAGAGTTTGAAGCTATGTATTTCAGAGGTGCTGGGTGGTTCTTCTGGAAGTCCTTGTGTGTGTGAGGGTAAAAATATCATGTCACAGGCCTGTTTTTCTCTGCCTCTGATGTTTACATCCAGGTTACTAGAGAACTTGTACCTCAGTAAAATCCACAGTTTGTTCCATATGAAGTGACTTTGGGCATGGTCTCCTGATTCACAAGTACTCAGGGGTCATCCTGAAATATCATGTCATCTAAAACTCCAAACTTTACATTCTTCAGTCGTAGTAGAACTATATACTCTAAATGCTTGAAAATGTTAATAGTAACTCTGCTCCTAAATTTATTTACATTTCCATTTCTTTTTAAAAAAAGAGCCTATTTTACTCATCTTATCTTGTGGGATGGTTCTAAGTTGTTGGTGGGAATGTAAACTAATACAACCACTATAGAAACCAGCAGGAAAATTTCTCAGAGATCCTAAAATTAGAGATTCTATTTGACCCAGATATTCCCTTTCTAGGTATCTTTCCCAAAAAGCTAAATATATCATATTACAGTGATATATTCATGCCAATGTTTATAGAAGCACAATTCATAATAGCTAAATCTTGGAAGCAGCCTACATATCCATCAGCAGATAAATAGATGAAGAAAATGTGGTGTCTATACATAAAATACTACTCGGCTATCAAGAAGGATAAATTTGAGACATTTGTAGGAAAATGGATACAAAGGAAAATATAATGTTAAGTTAAATAAACACAAGACTATATACCATATAGGACCTTTCATTTGAGTAAGGCAAAGTACAAATGAAAAGCAAAACTAAAGAGTGATAGAAGGAAATATGAAGACAGTACTCTTGCAAATTGGAAGGGGTCAAGGTGATTGTGGGGAAGAGGAGACAGGGAAGTAAAAAGATGTAAGATGTGTCAGGTACTTGCATCAAATATCCACAGTGAATGACAGTATTAAATGTCATAAACATAACCAAAAATAATAAGAGTGAAAACGGGAACAGCAGATTTAGAGATGGAAGAGGGAGGTAAGTAGGGAGGAGAAGGGGAACAAAAAGTAATTAAGATGTGTTATGTGTATGTACCCACTCCCCAAGATGAATGCAAACACTGCATGTACAGCCAACATGTACCAATGAAAAAATATTATCTTTGAAAATTAAAAGAAGTTTATAGAGTTTTCAGCCCAACAGTGAAGAAACTATCCCTGATATTATTGTTAAGACATTAAGTATTTTTATGTATCTTAGCATGTCTTTGGACTACTGCTGTTACAGTAAGCTGTCCTACACACACACACACACACACACACACACACACACACACACACACACACACACACACACACACACACACACACACAATCTAAAGACCAAAAAATGGAATTCATGTTATTTTAACTTAAAATATGAAAGTAAAAATTTTAACACACATTTCTAAAAAAAATAATTCAAATGAAAATGATCTTTAAAAAAAAAACTTACCCACTGACTACCCAACTGGACCATGCCATGGGGGAGATGAGGATAAAGGACACACAAGGGGAGAACAAAGAAATGATGAAAAAGTAAAAAAATTAATGACAATGGAAAAAAGACAACAATATCAACTTAAACAGATGATCCAAAATCAACTTCCACCCAGTTACCACTCTCAACAAAAATAAATGATGGGATAAATTGACATTATATTTTTGAATTTAAAACCAAACATATAAATCAAACTGAAATAATGGAACATTTATTGATAAGAACAAGGCCTCGTTTTTAAGGATATATATCTACTTGATCTTTAAAAAAATGAAAACTTTTACATAAAGTTTCATGCACTCTTTTTTGTGGCTTACTTTTATGAATGCAAACTTTGGATATTCTAAATTTGTATAAACAAAGTAAGTAGTTTTTAGCTCTCTCATTTGCTTATAAAAAGCAATGTTTATGAAAATATTCAACACCTAAAAGGTGCATCTGAAATACAGTGGCCACTTGTAAAATTTTGGGCAGCATTTATATGAAGAAAGAGAAGCTGACATGAGCCAAGGACTTTCTCTTGCTAGGGTTCTCTATGCTGCATGTCCATATGGCACATACTCCACTTACCTCCTGTCCTCCATCCAGGGCACAGAGTTTGGTGCTTTGTTTTTTGGCATCGACTAATACATTAAACATTGTGCACACAGAAGCTGGAATGCGCAAATCAGTTGTTTTGCTTGCCTTTTGCAGCTTAAGTTCAAATGCAGTTCTTGTTCTAGTTATTAAAAACATGAACGTAGAGTAAGAAACTCTGATATATGCCCCATCTATTTTGTAAGAGAAATCAACACTACACGATGCTAATTTAAAACATGCAAATGAGGAGTGAGCAGAGTAGCAGACCTTGGAAGCTGGGGGTGAGAGGTTCTTCCTTACAGGTGTCTCAAATAAAAAGTCAGACTGTGATAATTTATATAAGAACAAGCATTTTACCAAGTAGTATTTTGGGTACTAGCTTTACATTGTCATTCATAAAATATTACTATTTAAATGAAGCTTTTTGTTATATCTTATGTATCATAATCCCTGGAAAAAAAATCTCACAATTACACTTAATTGCCTGAATTTAATTTCAAATAGAAAAAAAAATCTTCTCTACATTAAAGCAGAATAAAAGGTTATCACATGAAAAAATTAAATCTGAAAAACTGTAAAATATAATGATCTTCATAACAAATAATGTGTAATTCTTTTAGGTCACTTGAGGTTTTAAACACCAGGTTATAGGTAAGTTTTTGAAAGAAACTACATAATAGGCAATTTGGAATAAGTTTTGCTAAAGTATCCAAAGATTACCCATAGATTTGAGACATTAGATTTACAAATGTTTTTTTGCAAAACACTAAACAATCTTATTTATACCCTTGCTCTAAGGGACCCATGAATATTGTTCTGAAAACAGGATTTTTCTTAAAGAATTCAGGAATATTCAGTTGTTCCAACCAGAGTTTGACTGTTATTCTAATAGGCTGCCCTATATTGGTTCTTGAACATATCATAAACAAAGGCAATGGGAAAATGAATGCTTGATCAGTTAGGATAAATTGTTAGTTTTCTAAAAGATATTAAGAAAATAAAAGGACAGTTGGAAGAATCCAAAGCCTCATAGTTTATTTCTGGTTAAATGCTAAATAATGAAAATAGATACTTGTAACTCATCCGATGAAGGAAGATAATACCAGAAAATATTGAGTAATCCCAGAACAACTGACGGTGCTGATGATTTTGAGTTTGCCATGTTATTTCACAGGACACAGACAGAGTATATAATGCATAAAGAACTCAACAGACCTTTTCCATATGTCTCAGGGAATATTATCTTGGGAATTTAAAGTGCAATATTCCAAGGAGATAATAAACACAACAGAAATGATTACTATGGTATGGGTGCTACTGATTAGGGCAATGATTGGGAGATCTGAAAAAGAAAGAGTATCAGTTCAATTTTATAAATTACATAGGTCCCTAGAATTTAGGTCGGAGAACCTAATGCCTGTTGCATTTTAGAATAGCAGAACATATAGAATCATTTCCTGTGAAAATTACATAAGTACTTGGTTAAAAGTGGAATTCTAGAGGTTGGTATATTAAGCAGCAACTTGAAAATTCATGACTACCTTTTGACACAGGCCTCTATCATGTCACTGGCCATTAGTTTAAGTCTTTGTTCTAAGTGATGGGCAAATTCTTGTTCTGGCCAATGAAGATCAAAGACAAACATTTGAAGTGCATCAAGTTTCCAAAAAAGATCTTCCGATGTTGCCGAGCCATTGCTATAAGAGAAAGGAAAAATGAAGAACACAATGAACTTCCACTGTTAACTATGCTACCACATTGTTTACTTTTCCTTTCTGTGTTCATTGACATCATAAATAAAAAGAATGTGGGAAAAAGAATACTACATGAAATCTCTAATGATCCATTTCCTTTGTTCAATATTCTAATTCTTCCTTTCCACATCTTTATTATTATTATTATTTTTGAGATATAGGGATCAAACCAGGGCCTTGCCTATGCTAGGGAAACACTTTACCACTGAGCTACATCTTCAGCACTCTTTCCACTTCTTTGTAAGACATACCAAGGAGAAAAATCAGGAATAAGTAGAACAGTAATATTTCATGAAAAGGGGTATAATGAATAAGGATACTAAGGAACATTAATCAATGAAAACCACCATTTTAAATATTCTTCGCCAGTCCCTAAGACAGAGATAAATACAGAAATATTCTCCCTTAGAAATTCCAAAAGGACTTTTTTTTTAAAACAGAAAATTCATATGACAGCAACTAGTAGCTTTGCTCTTTTATTCATGCATAGGTCCCTCTGTCTTCACGACAACTTCTGTTTCTCTACAGGTGTGTAGCATACAGGGCCCTTACAGGTCTGTTTCAGTTATAGGTAAATGTAAAACAGGTACTGGAAATAAAATGATAGGCCAGATAGGGAAACAAACCTTTATTCTTATTCAAAAATGTTTTGTGCCTTTTTTAGATCATAATTAAAAAGAACTTAATACATGGTATGACCCACTGAAAACTAGCATTCAGGGCATTCTGAAGTTGGGGTAAAAATCATGCATTTCAAGTCCTTATGTCTAAGTGTGGGGTCAGGATTTGTAGTGTATTCATTACTAGGGTGAATTACTAGGGGACTGTATTTTCACACCATGTATGAAGGTAATTTATAAAAGAGTTCATATAATATTTGGACAAAGGATAATGCTACTACTTTCCATAATGCAAGTACATAGTCTGATAGGGAAACATGTTTTGAAAGTAAAATATTCCTACATTAAAATATATTGAGACTTAACTGTAAAAGACAACAAAGTAAAAACAAATCAAAACAAAAAACCTGCTGATTCATGCGTCCTCAGATTTCTAACAACTGCTTCACAAATACTAATTTAAAATTTATATTTTTAGTTTGCCAAATACAAAGAAATAAAACAAACACATTTTTATGAGGTCATAGAGAAAATTTTTTATAAAAATGAAACTATTTAAAGAACTATACCGTTTTTCTTAATATTTCTTAATTAGCTAGCTTTAGAAAAATCACCCTTTGCTCTAGTTAATTAAAAGCTTTATTTCTGCCCTCCATCGTGGCCTCCCAGCTCCATCACCAAGCTATGTTGCTTTCATCCTCCCATTCAGCCAGGGATCCCTCCTGATCTCCTGGTCTAGCCAAGAGGTCTTTAGGGTCAAGTTATCAAGGGACCAGTCACAGACAAGCAGTGAATAGTATTCAATGAACTTTACTCACTTCATTTTTCTTCACCTTAATACATTGCAAATATACCATAAAAAAAAAGAACCTGGCAATATTGTGCTGACACTACTGCGAAAAATATAGACAGAAAACATAATCTCTAACTTTCCTTTTGCCATATGTAAATAAAAGTAAAAGAAAAGAATGGCCAGGCAAAACTGTCTGTATGTCCATAGTACAGTGTGCATTTTGGTAGATTAGCGGACTTGTTGGAATTGGATATAATTGGCAAAGAAGCAACGCTGTTTCTCATAATTTTTTACTTGAAAAAATACAACGCAAAAATATATATTCTTTAACAACACACAGTGATAACAAAAAGCATCAAACAAAATTGCATAGCATAGCAAAGGAACAATTCTATTAAAACTGATTTTCTCAAAATATGTAACAACTAAATCTTTACAGCTAAATCTTTACAACTAAATCTTTAAACATTATTTTTCTTCTATTTGATGCTGTGGTAAAATTCTAGACAACAAATGTGCTTAGTAGGCAATATAATTAAGATAACAAGTGTTTGTTATAATTAAATAGATATATGAAAAAATGTAAATAGGTTTTCTCTGGAGTTGGCATATGTAACCTGCAATTCATTCAGAGCTTTTTCATTTTAAATTATTCCTAATCAGTGACCAATTTCTAATGGCATTATTAACAGATTAAAGAATTTACATGTGAATAACACACTCTAAGATAATTTCCTAAATATGCCAGCATGAAATTTACCTTACTGGCATTTCTAGAGCTAAAACATTAGAAATGATGATTTTATATAATGAATGAAAAGGGACATGTAGAAATACCCTTCGGTCCTTCCCCTCTTTTTCCCTCTCTCCTGCCTGCCTGCCTGCCTTTCTTCCTTCCTGGACTAGTCGTTAACATGAGCCATGAATTAGTAGGTTGTATCTTTAAACCCATGGTCACGTTTATATATTTATTTTTTGGTTGTTAGGAGTTGAATCCAGGGCCTGGCATATGGTAGGCTTGCTCTAACACTGAGCTACATCTCCAGTCTGGTTACTTTTATGAATTCCTGTTATTTAATCAGGGGCTGGATCTTTAATTCTTATAAAAAATGGAATTTTTTTTGCCATTTAATATTTTATACTAAAACATCAGAAAGTAAGTTGGGATAACATCACAACACTAGGGATAATTCTGGGTACCATGATAGAGAACCAAATACTGATAACTTTGGTAGGTAAAGATAATGGAGATCAATATGTAAAACATACACTTTGTAATTTACTTAAAAGGATGGAAATATAATCACTTTACTTATAAAGCTTCAATTTGCCATAATGTCTGTTTTAAAATTCATATTTTTAAAAATGATACTCAATAAGTGTTTCAATGTTCACATAAATATCAAGCTAATAAAATAACAGTAAGAGAAATTACATTTTATAGCATAATGCTCACAATAATGCCCTTGCTTAAAATAATGTGATAAATAGAAAAAGAGTGAGGAAAATGAGTCAAATTATATAACAGAATGAAGTACCCCAAAGTTTCATTATACTTTGTAGGTAATTTCTGTGCACATACACACACCACCGTACATACTATAATGTTCCCGAGCCTTTGCCTGTAAGAGAAAAAATTCACAAGTAACATAACATACTAGTACTTATTATATGTACGATGATGATGTTTGACTTGGAGAAATATGGCTATACTTCTTCACGCTATCGTTCTTTTTCTTGGTCATTTCCTCCTTGTTTCCCTGATTGTATGTATAGCAAACTGGGTACAGATTTGACAGTTGGAGGTGGGATAGAGGCAAAGCCAGTATGTTTTTAAGCAGTCTGCTCTCTGGAGGAGACAGAATAAATTGAGCAGGTGTGAAAGCTTTGTAGGCAAAGAAGGATTGGGTTCAGTTTTTGCCTCTGTCACTTGCTATAAGATATTGGGCAAGTTTTGTTAATTTCTTTGCAACTGAGCTGTAACTGTAACTGTAAAATGGAGATAAGGACACTTACTTCCCAAAGTTGTTATAAGAATTAAATGAGATATAGAACACAGCAAATTCTCAATAAATGGAAGCTATTTTTCTTTTACTATTTATTCTTTCTAGCTGACTCCAGTTGAGATCTTGGGCAAGGATGTTACTGTTTATCTGCATTTTTACATCTGTAAACAAGGACTTTTACCTGTTCATTCGATTGCTACAAGGCTCATAGTTTTAAGACTATTTATAAATGGTGATGATATAGAGTAGTAATAATTATCACTTATTGGGCTTTTTCAATATGCTAATAGTAGACATTTATTGAAAGCATAGGATGTAACATACTTTTATACAGCTTTTTTAACTCTCACAAAAATATCTTTAAATTAGGTGTCAACCACTTCAGAGTTGAGGAAAGTAAGGCTAAAGAAGATGAATGATTAATAAGCTAAGATCTAAATTCAGGCCTGATCAGTTTCAAGCCCTGGAAATTTTAACTAAATCTGAAATAAAGTAACAATGTATACCACCCAAGATTTGAAAGGAACAAAACAAGAATGTCCTAGTGCTGGGAAAGAAAACCCCTTCCCTGCAAGTTACAATACTGTTTCTTTAATATTGAGAGTAAGATAAAAATAAAAAAGATTATATTCTCAAAATTGTTCTTATAATCATTTTCTACATGCATGAGATAATGTGGGCATATCCTTGAAATATATTTATGCACTGATTGTCTATAAGGCAAGCTAATTATGTCACTCAAGGCAGACATCCGGGATCACACAATAACCCTTGCACCACAGATTACATATGCATTTCACAAACCAGTATGTTTTTCTCTTCAGTCTGTATCATTTATCATCGATATGCTAAGCTTAGCTTAATAGCTTAAAAAATTCAAACACACAAAGCCAAAAACATAGTACTCCTCAACCAACGATGATAAATGCCATGCAGTCTAAACACATCTGCACAGAACACAGCCCAGGCCATGCACTAACTAACACACCACCAGGAAATAAGTGAGGAATACACACGTGGACTCATATAAAGAAGCCATCCACGAAGGAGTAGAAAAGTTAGGAATCTGTGGAAGATTAAGAGGCAGACTTGGAACTTTTGGAAGAGCTACATTGGGAAGACTGTTGGCGATACTCCTGTAAAGAAACAAACAACGTGGGAAGGGACCACCATAAGCAATAACTACAGATGGCCATGTGTAAAGTCATAAGGTCAGGATTGAGAAACAGATACTTTGTGAATGCTACGTAAGATACCTACTTGACTGGCTGCCACGTTTCTTGCTCAAAACCTTTGTGAACTGACTGGGCGATGGAAGACTCCATGAGATCCACGTAGCGGACAACCAAGGGCACAAAGATCTCTTGCAAGTGTTTGTGAAATTTTCCATTACACAAAAGTGCTGAAAAAGCCAAGCAGAAAGAGTGTTTGTCAGAGGGAAAATACCAACCACTTGGAAAATATGGATGAAAAAAAATTTCCTGAATTTGATACAGGGCAACTGATAAAATACAGACAATAAAGGATTTTACTCTCTATTATACCATGGAAAATGATCAGAAACTATAACTTGCATTGCTCTGTATATGGCTGTCAAAAGAAAAATAGATTATATCTCTATAAAATGTTCCTGGCAAGTGGAATGTTTGTCCTTTCTAAGAGGTTTAGCTAGGCATCTGACCTCTTTCTGGAAATTCTAGGAAGCTGTGGTCCCCTAGAGGTCTTGACACATGTAAATACACTAATTAAGGAGAAAGAATCTCCGAGCTAGGCTGTGTATCGTAGAAGTGCTAAACCTGTTCAATTCTAATAGATAAGCTTGATTGCTTTTAAGACTTTATATTGCTTAATTTACTAGAATTGTGACTCTGGCATTGGGAATATCTATTTTGATTCACGAACTTTTCAGTTATTTGTGGACTTTCTTTCTGGTCATCCAGTTTATATATCTGTTTTGCTTTTGGTGATGCTGGGGATTGAATCCAGGGCATCTCACCGTATGTTAAATTAGAAGTCTACCCCAAGACACCTCTACCTCAACACTTAGTCTTTAAAAACAGCTTATCACTGATTTTTTTTTCAGTTTTCTGTCAGTCTTTATTGAGTTGCACTTTGGGACATCTCACTTAAAGCAAACGTGGAAGTCTAAGATTTTACGCTGCTGGGAGAAGACTTTTGGACAAAGTGTACCTTCTTCATTCAGGAGATGGATGCTTCTAGGTACAGGATGTAATTTCACAGGATACAGTCAGTATGTGCCTAACTTATACCTAGAAAGAATAGATGATCCACAGGAAAATACTAACACTAAGTAATATTGAATTAAGAATTTGTCAGTTTTTGGTTGATATTGTTATTGATTGTAAATATTTCTCAAAGGACATAGACATAATTAGGACCTTTTGTAACAACCCTTTGTAATGAAAATATTCATTCAAAAAGTATATCCCATGGTGAAGAAAGGTTTTATTACAGGATAGCATCTTCATTAAATCTAAATAACCAAAGAACTTCCCATGGGAGATTTGGAGGGAAGGTTTCCCATCAAGGGGATAGCTAGCACAAACTCTGGAAGAGGCATAAGCTGGTGTCCTTTCAGAAAGAGGAGAAAGCCAGAGGAGTAAGTTAATATTCTTTTAAAAAGATGTAGAGTAGAGTAAGGGATGAGAAGGGTAGTTCATGGGAGTGGACAGATTGTAGGTGTGGTGAAGGGGATGGGTCTTCCAGGGTGCAACGGGAAGATTTATTATTTTAAATATTAAGTAGAGGAAAGATGTGACAGTCTGTCTCACTGCTGTGTGGAAAACAGGATAGGCGATCCACAGTATAGCACACAGAAGGTTAGCGATCAGTTCCTTACTACGACAGAGTAGGTACAGGGTGAGGCTGGCTTTGACGGGTCGCAGAAATGGGACGGGAAAAAGCCTCTAAGCAAAAAGTCTCATTTACTTTTATTGATCTGAATACATGTGCATGCTGAAAGTTACTAAATCTAAGTCCTAGCAACACCATTACTCCCTACCTGATACAAATCCCAACTATGACAGTCTCTCATACTATTTTCTTCAGAGAAAAAAACATACCAAAAGCTGACTGTTTTAAAAGTTGAGCAAAGTATATGACACTTACCCCCACAGAATGAGCATGCAAATGCTCTCAGTATATTTCTATGATTCTGAAATTTGCTAATGGCTGGACAACAACAGACATGTTGTGGTCCCATAGAAAGTGAGTCTAAATTCAGTCAGACATGCAATATGATTTTTCTGCCTCTGACATGGTTCAGTCTTTCTTTGTGGTTATAACATCTTTTCTGACTTATCTACATGCTAAAAGCTTTCCCATTTAAGTGGAAATAAATGTATTTAATAATAAATGACTAATGTTACCTTAATGTTTTCATGATCATACTAAATGAGCTTGTTTAGTCCTAGAAATTTGATCATAGTGCTAGAGGTACTATCAACCTTGGAATTCAGTTACTTTAAATAAAGGCCACCTAAATAAGGATGCAATATTTTCCCTCAAAATATCTAAATCATTGTGGTAGGCAAATTAAAAAACACATTGAAATCTGATTAAGTAAGACCTCTCCCTCTCCCTCTTCCTCTTCCTCAGCAACTCAGTTATATTGCGCATTCTCTCATTTGCTCATCACAAAAAGCATACAAGGAACTTAAAAAAATTTGTTTATCAATAAGAAAACAGAGGCACAGAGAATTTAGGATTTTTACCTAAGTCCATTTAGTCTTTAGGCAGTAGAACCAAGATTTGATAGCAAAGCCCCATTTTAATCTTAGTAGATTGTAATAGCATCTCTCCTCTATTTAGATCACTATAAACTATTAGCTCTGTCTATCTATCCATTTAGCCATCCTGCAACCTAACATCAGAACATGAATATCTCTAAGATCTAGGAATGCTGAATTAGAATTTTGAAAAAAACCCTGTTATGAAATATGAAAAAGTTATACTGAACAAGACTATTACATTTAATGACTGGAAAAATACATTAACATTTCAAAAATATTAAATGCACTAATAATGTAATCCTCACAGAAAGTTGGAAAGTCTTATATTGTCACACAACAAGACTATATGCCAAAGCCTTCATTTATATTGGCCCATTAAAAAAAATTAAAAACCCAAGCCTTTCCATCTTGATAGTTACTGTTTACTACTATCATTTTTATTTACAACTAAGATCAAAATATGTGTTTATATACCTGTAATAGATTTTTAGAAATGAGCAATATACCTTAGCAGTTCAAAAGTACTTTCTTATACATTTAGAAATTAGGTGTGTTAGAAGAAGTCACCCTTAGTTTGTTAAAATATAGAAACATATAAGGAGAATTACACTCAGTATTGTTATTAAATGTTATAATGATTGCAAGATTAATTAGCAATTGACTCAAAATGTATTTCTTGGAGGAGCTATCTTTCTTCACATCTGTGATAAGTATACTGGGTTTACTGTCTTGTTTTAAAAAAAGCAAGTTCTTTTCTTGTTATTTGCATTCTCAGAGTAAAAAAAAAAAAGAGATTTTTCTACTTGCTTACGACACCAGAAACATGGAAGCTGGTACCACATGCCTTTATCTTACTTCCTGCATCCCTCTTGTAATCAAGACTTGTGTCATTTTGTACCCTTTGTGTCACACTATTATACTACATCTTCTTCCTTCATGCTACTGGCATTACACTAGCCCAACCTTCATCTCCTATCTCGACTCATGCACTTTCTTCCTATCTGGGCTTCACTCTAATAATTTTTCCTCTGCCCATTCATATTCTGAAAATATTAAGGAGAGGGATTTGCTAAAAATAAAAAGTGTCACTTCTAAAGATGGTAATCTTTTAGCGGATCACCATAGAAAACTTCAAAGGCCTTCACGTGGTACAAAAGCCCTCCAAATTCGCTTTAAAATTACCTCTCTGGGACATGTCCTGGGAGCCCTACTCCCTTATTTATTGTGGTAATTACAATTCTTTTCATGATTCATTTTAAAGCTCAAATCCTTTTTAAAAAATGCCGCATTCTGAGGCCTCCTTGCCCAATTACTGGCTTTCCATGCTTACTCCCTGCCCTGAACAGGTTTCCATGTGACCTTATCGTACAAATGGTGCCTGCCCTGCCAGCATCTCTGTCCCTGAGCAGGAACCACTCTGTATTCTCCCTACCTCGCCATATTCTTGGCTCAGAACAAATGTTTAAAAGTCTATTGAGTGAATAAATACTTGAATATAACATTAAAAGAACTATGTTATTACTCAGAAGATTGCATTAAATGACAACTCTAGAACATATTGAAGCCTGCATATCTTCTCACACTTCATACATGCATATATTGTTAAGCAATGCTATTGTAGGAAATCCTATTGGTGATATATATGTTCAGGATCAGATTGCTAAAGATTCCACTGCATAGAAGAGTTGGTTATTTTATATCTCTTTTTAAAACAAATACTGCAAAATAGGACATTTTGCTGATCAGTTATGGTTCTTAAAAATGAATGATTTCACTGGGGGTGGTGGCACATGCCTGTAATCCCAGCACTTGGGAGGCTGAGGCAGGAGGATCGCTGTGAGTTTGAGACCAGCCTGGGCCACATAGTGAGTTCCAGGTCAGTCTCAACTACATAGAGAGACCCTGTCTCAAACCCCCCCAAAAACCCAAAAACAAACAAACAAAAAAGAATGATTTCCACAGAATCTGGAGAAAATGGAGATTACCTATAATTGCAATGAACTACCACAAATCTCGAATTTTGGCTAAAAATTTACTCATATTTCAGTTGAGAGTTCATTTTGTTTTTTTAAAAAAATCAATGCAAAAGGAAATAAGAGAAAAGAAAAAATGTGAAAAGAGGAAAAAATGGTAACAAAGTCCTTGGAAATAGGGAAGGATGAAGGGGGTGAAGAGAGGGCAGGGGTAAGGGGAAGAAATCAGAACCAAGATATATCATGTAAAGGTGCAAGGTCCCATGATAAATATACTACTGTTTGCTTTAAATTTACCAATAAATTTAATGGGCAAAAAAATCAATGCATGAACTCATAATGGAAACTTGACAGTATTATTTCCTTAGTAGTTGAGTGAGGAAGAAGAAGGAAGGAGGCAGAGAGAGATGGACAGAGAAGAGATAAGAAGAGGAAAGGGAGAGAAGAAATGAAGGTAAATACACAGAAATGGAAAAGGAAGAATATTTAGTATCGAAAAGCAGCACTGCAGGGATACATACTGCACTATACTTGTTTATGTAAATGTATGCTCTTTTTCTTAGTTGCCCATATGCCAGTTTGTATCCTACTTCTATCAGACACTGACAAAAGCCCCTCTTAATATGTAGCCTGAGGCATCAGAATGAGTGCTTCAATCTTCTCCATCTGGTTTTGTA